TCTAAGGGATCATATCTATTATTTTTGAACTATTTATCACAATTTGACTTCTCTATTGGCTAATCTTTTGGGATTTCTTTTCCCCCTTTTTGATTATAAGTGGAATGAGGAGGAATTTTCTTTGTTTTCTATCTCTCTCTCTCACTTTTTTATTATACCTTTTTTTTTTTTTTGAGAACTTTATTATACTTTTGGAGTGTTGGAAGACCCCACAACACCCCCCCAAAATAAAAATAAAAAAAAAATTTCCCAAAACTGATTACCATTCCTAAGATGTAGAATAAAGTAGAAACATCAACAATAAATGACAAATAGAACATATCTTCTACGAAAGTGGTTGCTAAGTGGTTTTCAATTCATAAGTAGTAAGTGGATGGTTTCCTTTGAATATGTTCACTAGAATCAAATAAAGTTACAATGAATGAATGAATCAAATTGGTTCCCCACTCACCGACCCATTAAAATCTTCTCATCATCGTCTTCTTCATTCAATCAAATCAATTAAATTAATTCAGTTGGCTGTTCTTCTATATTTTTTTATGTTTTAATTGGAAGGTCTGAATTAATTAACGTCAAATATAAAGATTTATTATTTATTTGGAATTAAATTCATTCTAATTCGTGGAGTGCATTCCAATTTGGTTCATTGGGCTCGCCACATCCTCACTTTAAGTATTTATTCTGTTAAATTTTTACATTCTAGTTTGTAGATCATTCATAAAAAAAAATAAAAATAAAATATATTAATCTGATGATCGTAACCATAACGTTAGTATTAAGAAAATGAACGATTTAGTATTAACAATTTCATAAATATTTTTAATCTAAATAAAATTATATTTTTACCCTTCATTTACTATGATCAACAATTTCATAAATATTTTTTATCTAAGTAAAATTATATTTTTAATTGTAAAAATTATGATATTGTATTAAAAAAATCATAAATCACAATAAAAAAATTAGCAACAAATTCTATTTTGTTTTGAAAATTACTATCGAGTTATATCAAATTTCTGCATTAACAAATAAGTAATATTTTCTTTTTTATTTTATAAATTGTTGTAAAAAAAATTCAATTATTCATAATAGTATATTTTATTTTATTTTTCTCCTTAAAATATGAAATAAAAATTTTATAAATAATTTTTTTTATATAAAATTTTATTAAAAAAAAATATTTTTAATTGTTGAAATTAAATGAACTTTCATAAACAAAAGTATAACTATAAGATTTATCAATTATTTCATGCATTGAGAAATATATTTGTCATAGTATTTGTGCGGGAAATCTCACATCGGTCCGTGAGGGACTATTTTCCCACCTTATAAGCAGGCTGTCTCCTCTTACCTTGCATAGGCCTTTTCCCCTAGAGGGGGAGGAACAAAACCGTGCGGTCGGAATGCCAAAGCGGACAATATGTGCAAGGCACGGGGACCAGTGGCTTTATTTGGTGCCGTCTGTGGGAACTCCCTCCGGGGTGACCGGAGCCAGCGTGGCTGGGGCTAATGTGCGGGAAATCCTACATCGGTCAGTGAAGGACTACTTTCCCACCTTATAAGCAAGTTGGCTCCTCTTACCTTGCATAGGCCTTTTCCTCCAGTGGGGGAGGAACAAAACCGTGCGGTCGGAATGCCAAAGCGGACAATACCTGCAAGGCACGGGGACCGGTGGCTTTATTTGGCGCCGCCTGTGGGAACTCCCTCCGGGGTGACCGGAGCCAGCGCGGCTGGGGCCTAATGTGCGGGAAATCCCACATCGGTTTGTGAGGGACTACTTTCCCACCTTATAAGCAGGCTGGCTCCTCTTACCTTGCATAGGCCTTTTCCTCCAGTGGGGGAGGAACAAAACTGTGCGGTCGGAATGCCAAAGCGAACAATATGTGCAAGGCACGGAGACCGGTGGTTTTATTTGGCGCTGTCTGTGGGAACTCCCTCCAGGATGACCGGAGCCAGCGCGGCTGGGGGCTAATGTGCGGGAAATCCCACATTGGTCTGTGAGGGACTACTTTCCCACTTTATATGTAGGCTGGCTCCTCTTACCTTGCATAGGCCTTTTCCTCTAGTGGAGAGAGGAACAAAACCGTGCGGTTGGAATGCCAAAGCGGACAATATGTGCAAAGCACGGGGACCGGTGGCTTTATTTGGCGCCGTCTGTGGGAACTCCCTCCCGGGTGACCGGAGCCAGCGCGGCTGGGGGCTAATGTGCGGGAAATCTCACATCGGTCTGTGAGAGACTACTTTCCTACCTTATAAGCAGGCTGGCTCCTTTTACCTTGCATAGGCCTCTTCTTCCAATGGGGGAGGAACAAAACCGTGCGATCGGAATGGCAAAACGGACAATATGTGCAAGGCACGGGGACCGATGGCTTTATTTGGCGTCGTTTGTGGGAACTCCCTCCGGGGTGACCGGAGCCAGCGTGGCTGGGGGCTAATGTGCGGGAAATCCCATATCGGTCTGTGAGGGACTACTTTCCCACCTTATAAGCAGGCTGGCTCCTCTTACCTTGCATAGGCCTCTTCCCCCAGTGGGAAAGGAACAAAACCGTGCAGTCGGAATGTCAAAGCGGACAATATGTGCAAGGCACGAGGACTAGTGGCTTTATTTGGCGCCGTCTATGGGAACTTCCTCCAGGGTGACCGGGGCTAGCGCAACTGGGGGCTAATGTGCAAAAAATCCCACATTGGTCTGTAAGGGACTACTTTTCCACCTTATAAGCGGGCTGGCTCCTCTTACCTTGCATAGGCCTCTTCCCCTAGTAGGGGAAGAACAAAACCGTGCAGTCGGCATGCCAAAGCGGACAATATGCAACGTACGGGGACCGGTGGCTTTATTTGGCGCCGTCTGTGGGAACTCCCTCTGGGGTGACCGGAGCCACCGCGGCTGGGGCTAATGTGCGGGAAATCCCATATCGGTCTGTGATGGACAACTTTACCACCTTATAAGCGGGCTGGCTCTTCTGACCTTGCATAGGCCTTTTCTCCCAGTGGGGGAGGAACAAAACCGTGCGGTCGGAACGCCAAAGCGGACAATATGTGCAAGGCACGGGACCGGTGGCTTTATTTGGCGCCGTCTGTGGGAACTCCCTCCAAGGTGACTGGAGCCAGCGCGGCTGGGGGCTAATGTGCGGGAAATCCCACATCGGTCTGTGAGGGACTACTTTCCCACCTTACAAGTAAGCTGGCTCCTCTTACCTTGCATAGGCCTCTTCCTCCAGTCAGTGAGGAACAAAACCGTGCGGTCAGAATGTCAAAGCGGACAATATGTGCAAGGCACGGAGACCGGTGACTTTATTTGGCGCCGTTTGTGAAAACTCCTTTCGGGGTGACCGGAGCCAGCGCGGCTGGGGGCTAATGTGCGAGAAATCCCACATCGGTCTGTGAATGACTACTTTTCCACCTTATAAGCAGGCTGGCTCCTCTTACCTTGCATAGGCCTTTTCCTCCAGTGGGGGAGGAACAAAACCATGCGATCGGCATGCCAAAGCGGACAATATGTGCAAGGCACGGGGACCGGTGGCTTTATTTGGCGCCATCTGTGGGAACTTCCTTCGGGGTGACCGGAGCCAGCACGGCTGGGGGCTAATGTGCGGGAAATCCCACATCGGTCTGTGAGGGACTACTTTCCCACCTTATAAGCAGGCTGGCTCCTCTTACCTTGTATAGGCCTTTTCCCCCAGTGAGGGAGGAACAAAATCGTGCGGTTGGCATGCCAAAGCGGACAATATGTGCAAGGCACGGGGACCGGTGGCTTTATTTGGCGCCGTCTGTGGAAACTCCCTCCGGGGTGACCAGAGCCAACGCAGCTGGGGGCTAATGTGCGGGAAATCCCACATCGGTCTGTGAGGGACTACTTTCCCACCTTATAAGCAGGCTGGCTCCTCTTACCTTGCATTGGCCTTTTCCCCCAGTGGGGGAGGATCAAAACCGTGCGGTCAGAATGCCAAAGCGGACAATATGTGCAAGGCATTTGACAATCCCGTGCCTTGCACATATTGTCCGCTTTGGCATTCGGACCGCACGGTTTTGTTTCTCCTCCACTGGGGGAAAAGGCCTATGCAAGGTAAGAGGAGCCAGTCTGCTTATGAGGTGGGAAAGTTGTCCCTCACAGACCGATGTGAGATTTCCCGCACATTAGTCCCCAGCTGCGTTGGCTCTGGTCACCCCGGAGGGAGTTTCCACAGACGGCGCCAAATAAAGCCACTGGTCCTCGTACCTTGCACATATTGTTCGCTTTGGCATTCCAACTGCACGGTTTTGTTTTTCCCGCATTGGGGGAAAAGATCTATGCATGGTAAGAGGAGCCAGCCTGCTTATAAGGTGGGAAAGTAGTCCCTCACAGACCGATGTGGGATTTCCCGCACATTAACCCCCAGCCGTGCTGGCTCTGGCCACCCCGGAGGGAGTTCCCACAGACGGCGCCAAATAAAGCCACCGGTCCCCGTGCCTTGCACATATTGTCTGCTTTGGCATTCCGACCGCACGGTTTTGTTCCTCCCCCACTAGGGGAAATGGCCTATGCAAGGTAAGAGGAGCCAACCTACTTATAAGATGGGAAAGTAGTCCCTCACAGACCGATGTGAGATTTCCTGCACAGTATTATTTTCATAACTCTTTTGTTTTTTATTAATTGACAAATATGACTTACTTGTTTGTATTAACACTACAAAAAATTCGCTTTTTTGCGACGGTAAAATACCATCGCCAATACCAAGGAAGCCGTCTCAAAAGCTTTTTTGCGACGGTAAATAGATTTTAGCGACGGTAATAGGGGGGTCGCAAAAAAAGGGGTTGCTAAAGGTCTTTAGCGACGGTAAACGCCGTCGCAAAATATTGGCGACGGCAAAAATTCCTTTAGCGACGGAAAAATACTGTTGCAATTAATGTGTAAAAATCTGCAGACTTTGAGACGGTAGGAAAATACCGTCGCTAAAAATGGTAATTGCGACGGGAAAATATCGTCGCAAAAGGGTTTATTTGAGACGGTAAAAATACCGTCGCTAAAAAAGGTTATTTGCGACGGGTTTAATACTGTCGTTAATACTGTTATTTGCGACAGAAAATTGTGCCGTCTCTAAAAATATTATTTGCGACGGTGAAAGTACCGTCGCTAAAAGCTTTTTGTTCATATTGCCAATATCATTGGCGACGGCTACGCTATCGTCGCAAAAACCTGGTTCCAACAAAAAAATGCAGCAATAAATTTATTAAAAATATGCAAATTACCTGTATTAAATAAAAATAGCAAAACCTGGTTCCAACAAAAAAATGCAGCAATAAATTTATTAAAAATATGCAAATTACCTGTATTAAATAAAAATAGCAAAACCTGGTTCCAACAAAAAAATGCAGCAATAAATTTATTAAAAATATGCAAATTACCTGTATTAAATAAAAATAGCAAAACCTGGTTCCAACAAAAAAATGCAGCAATAAATTTATTAAAAATATGCAAATTACCTGTATTAAATAAAAATAGCAAAACCTGGTTCCAACAAAAAAATGCAGCAATAAATTTATTAAAAATATGCAAATTACCTGTATTAAATAAAAATAGCAAAACCTGGTTCCAACAAAAAAATGCAGCAATAAATTTATTAAAAATATGCAAATTACCTGTATTAAATAAAAATAGCAAAACCTGGTTCCAACAAAAAAATGCAGCAATAAATTTATTAAAAATATGCAAATTACCTGTATTAAATAAAAATAGCAAAACCTGGTTCCAACAAAAAAATGCAGCAATAAATTTATTAAAAATATGCAAATTACCTGTATTAAATAAAAATAGCAAAACCTGGTTCCAACAAAAAAATGCAGCAATAAATTTATTAAAAATATGCAAATTACCTGTATTAAATAAAAATAGCAAAACCTGGTTCCCCACTGGGGGAAAAGGCCTATGCAAGGTAAGAGGAGCCAGTCTGCTTATGAGGTGGGAAAGTTGTCCCTCACAGACCGATGTGGGATTTCCCGCACATTAGTCCCCAGCTGCGTTGGCTCTGGTCACCCCGGAGGGAGTTTCCACAGACGGCGCCAAATAAAGCCACTGGTCCCCGTACCTTGCACATATTGTTCGCTTTGGCATTCCGACTGCACGGTTTTGTTTTTCCCGCATTGGGGGAAAAGATCTATGCATGGTAAGAGGAGCCAGCCTGCTTATAAGGTGGGAAAGTAGTCCCTCACAGACCGATGTGGGATTTCCCGCACATTAGCCCCCAGCCGCGCTGGCTCTGGCCACCCCGGAGGGAGTTCCCACAGACGGCGCCAAATAAAGCCACCGGTCCCCGTGCCTTGCACATATTGTCTGCTTTGGCATTCCGACCGCACGGTTTTGTTCCTCCTCCACTAGGGGAAATGGCCTATGCAAGGTAAGAGGAGCCAACCTACTTATAAGATGGGAAAGTAGTCCCTCACAGACCGATGTGAGATTTCCCGCACAGTATTATTTTCATAACTCTTTTGTTTTTTATTAATTGACAAATATGACTTACTTGTTTGTATTAACACTACAAAAAATTCGCTTTTTTGCGACGGTAAAATACCGTCGCCAATACCAAGGAAGCCGTCTCAAAAGCTTTTTTGCGACGGTAAATAGATTTTAGCGACGGTAATAGGGGGGTCGCAAAAAAAGGGGTTGCTAAAGGTCTTTAGCGACGGTAAACGCCGTCGCAAAATATTGGCGACGGCAAAAATTCCTTTAGCGACGGAAAAATACTGTTGCAATTAATGTGTAAAAATCTGCAGACTTTGAAACGGTAGGAAAATACCGTCGCTAAAAATGGTAATTGCGACGGGAAAATACCGTCGCAAAAGGGTTTATTTGAGACGGTAAAAATACCGTCGCTAAAAAAGGTTATTTGCGACGGGTTTAATACTGTCGTTAATACTGTTATTTGCGACAGAAAATTGTGCCGTCTCTAAAAATATTATTTGCGACGGTGAAAGTACCGTCGCTAAAAGCTTTTTGTTCATATTGCCAATATCATTGGCGACGGCTACGCTATCGTCGTAAAAACCTGGTTCCAACAAAAAAATGCAGCAATAAATTTATTAAAAATATGCAAATTACCTGTATTAAATAAAAATAGCAAAACCTGGTTCCAACAAAAAATACAGCAATAAATTTATTAAAAATATGCAAATTACCTGTATTAAATAAAAATAGCTAAAAAAAATTCGAAAACTATATAATAATATAAAAATTCCTGTATATAAATAAAATTCCATCCATAATTAAAGTACTCTTCCATTCATGACAACACATCATCAAAATTATCCAACCACATAATTTTGTATAATACATACATAATGTTATTCACAAATCTAAATAACGTAAATCAAAAATAAAAGTTTTCTTCATAAACAAAAGTTTGTCGCAATCTTCACACGGCTGCATTCCACAAGAAGCAAACTGCTACCTAAGAAATATCTGAAAATAAAAAATAAAAATAATTAATGACAATATAATTATGTATTAATATTTTAATTACAAAAAAACATAAAAAATTAATTACTATATAATTACAAAGATAGTTAAGTAAATAATTTTGGCTAGATAGAAATCCGACCCTAACTCCCAAACCGGAAACCCGATTCCAGTCCCGTCTTCTCCCACAAGTCTCTCGTGCCTAGGCGGTCGTGTGTGCCCAAGTTTCGTGCCAATCCGACCCCATTTGGTGATTTTGGGGTGTCAACGCCTCGAATTTAAGTTTCTTAAGGAACTAGTTTGCCTAAACCGAAATACAGCTCTAACGCCCAAACCGGGAAACCGATTGGAGTCTCGTCTTCTCCCACAAGTCTCTCGTGCCTAGGCGGTCGTGTGTGCCAAGTTTCGTGCCAATCCGATCCCATTTGGTGATTTTGGGTGTTAACACCTCGAATTTAAGTTTCATAAGGAACTAGTTTGCCTAAACCGAAATACGGCTCTAACTCCCAAACCGGGAAACCGATTGGAGTCCCGTCTTCTCTCACAAGTCTCTCGTGCCTAGGTGGTCGTGTGTGCCAAGTTTCGTGCCAATCCAACCCCATTTGGTGATTTTGGGGTGTTTTGGGGTGTCAACACCTCGAATTTAAGTTTCTTAAGGAACTAGTTTGCCTAAACCGAAATACGGCTCTAACTCCCAAACCGGGAAACCGATTGGAGTCCCGTCTTCTCCCACAAGTCTCTCATGCCTAGGTGGTCGTGTGTACCAAGTTTCATGCCAATTCGATACCATTTGGTGATTTTGGGGTGTCAACACCTCGAATTTAAGTTTCTTAAGGAACTAGTTTGCCTAGACCGAAATACGGCTCTAGCTCCCAAACCGGGAAACCGATTGGAGTCCCGTCTTCTCCCACAAGTCTCTCGTGCTTAGGTGGTCGTGTGTGCCAAGTTCCGTGCCAATCCAATACCATTTGGTGATTTTGGGGTGTCAACACCTCGAATTTAAGTTTCTTAAGGAACTAGTTTGCCTAGACCGAAATATGGCTCTAACTCCCAAATGGGGAAACCGATTGGAGTCCCGTCTTCTCCCACAAGTCTCTCGTGCCTAGGTGGTCGTGTGTGCCATGTTTCGTGCCAATCCGATACCATTTGGTGATTTTGGGGTGTCAACACCTCGAATTTAAGTTTCTTAAGGAACTAGTTTGCCTAGACCAAAATACAGCTCTAACTCCCGAACTGGGAAACCAATTGGAGTCCCGTCTTCTCCCACAAGTCTCTCGTGCCTAGGTGGTCGTGTGTACCAAGTTTCGTGCCAATCCGATACCATTTGGTGATTTTGGGGTGTCAACACCTCGAATTTAAGTTTCTTAAGGAACTAGTTTGCCTAGACCGAAATACGGCTCTAACTCCCAAACCGGGAAACTGATTGGAGTCCCGTCTTCTCCCACAAGTCTCTCATGCCTAGGTGGTCCTGTGTGCCAAGTTTCGTGCCAATCCGATACCATTTGGTGATTTTGGGGTGTTAACACCTCGAATTTAAGTTTCTTAAGGAACTAGTTTGCCTAAACCGAAACACGGCTCTAACGCCCAAACTGGGAAACCGATTAGAGTCCCGTCTTCTCCCACAAGTCTCTCATGCCTAGGTGGTTGTGTGTGCCCAAGTTTCGTGCCAATCCAACCCCATTTGGTGATTTTGGGGTGTTAACACCTCGAATTTAAGTTTCTTAAGGAACTAGTTTGCCTAAACCGAAATATGGCTCTAACTCCCAAACCGGGAAACCGATTGTAGTCCCGTCTTCTCCCACAAATCTCTCGTGCCTAGGCGGTCGTGTGTGCCAAGTTTCGTGCCAATCCAACCCCATTTGGTGATTTTGGGGTGTCAACACCTCGAATTTAAGTTTCTTAAGGAACTAGTTTGCCTAAACCGATATACGGCTCTAACTCCCAAACCGGGAAACCGATTGGAGTCCTGTCTTCTCCCACAAGTCTCTCGTGCCTAGGCGGTCGTGTGTGCCCAAGTTTCGTGCCAATCCGACCCCATTTGGTGATTTTGAGGTGTTAACACCTCGAATTTAAGTTTCTTAAGGAACTAGTTTGCCTAAACCGAAATACGGCTCTAACTCCCAAACCGGGAAACCGATTGGAGTCCTGTCTTCTCCCACAAATCTCTTGTGCCTAGGCGGTCGTGTGTGCCAAGTTCCGTGCTAAACCGACCCCTTTTGGTGATTTTGGAACGTTAACACCTCGAATTCAATTTTTTTAAAGAAATAGTTTTGCCTAGAGTGAAATCCATCACTAACTCCTAATCCGGGAACCCAATTTGAGTCCCGTCTTCTCTCACAACTCTATTAACTTCGAATGCAAAGAATGCAAATATACATTTTAGCTTAGAATGTAAAGTTATATTTTATACCTGATCTTCTGGTGGTGGTGTATATGGATTCTCGTCTTCTGCAGATTCCCTAAATGCCGGGTGGCCACTCGATGCATTAGGAGTCTATGATAGCCAACGCATAACGTGTTAATCATATTCAAATTTTATACATAATGTTGTGTGACAGTTTAACTATCAAACAATTTAATTTATATCGAACCTGTCTGTTAGGATCCACACTTGCCCCCTGTGACACAAAGGCCATCATCTCAGCTCTCAGCTGCTGTAAATGTGTAGAGAACTCTGCTCTCATCTCCTCCCTCAGCTCCTCCCTCAACTCATCCCTTAGCTCCGCACGAACCTGCTGGGTGATCTGAACAATAGTCGATGGCTGGGGTGCTGACTGTGATGGCCCTGCACCATCTTTATACACTGCTCTCCGAGGCACAGTTCTCCCGTATGTGCGACAATATCCATGATTGTCATGACCTATCAACTCATGGAAAATGGCATTCCTAGCCTCCAAAGTCCGACAATCCTCAGGTAGCATAGAGAGTTGGCCATTAAACTCATCCTGTATTGAATAAGAAATACAAGTATATGCCAAATTAAGATAGTTAACACAAAAAATAAAAAATAAACTTTAAATACAATCAAAGGTGTTTGGAAACTACCAAGGTCTGGATAACCTCTGGGTCATCTCCTCTACCTAGGCGGTCGTGTGTGCCAAGTTTCGTGCCAATCCGACCCCATTTGGGGATTTTGGGGTGTCAACACCTCGAATTTAAGTTTCTTAAGGAACTAGTTTGCCTAAACCGAAATATTCATCAATCCCATTAATGTATTCCGTCGACATCCTATTTGGCAAATCAATCCAACTCTTATCCATCATCTGTACTTCCCTTATATGTGTTTCCCACTATTAATTTGCTTCAGGCAAACTTACTGGGAGATATACATCTCACATACAAAACAAATATGCCCTAGAAAAAAATATAATTACAACAAATGTAAGAGTCATAATGAGATGAAAGGGTAAAAATATAATTACAAGACATAATATCACATATTAATTGAACTTTTGCTGTAAATTACAAGACATAATATAATTACAAGGCACACAAGTGTCTTTAGGACGAATAACAAACTACACATTTTTTATGTTAATTCTCATCAAATACCACAACGCAACAGAGATTTAATCTAAATCAAGACCGAGCCAAGTTTTATCAAATAAATATGATAACAAGGCAAGAGAGATAAGTCTTAGATCAATCACTAAATTTATTGTGCTTATATCATTCACCAGCAGTGGCATATGAAAAAGAAAGACCAAAAAAAGATACATTCAAAATGACTTGTCAAGGTTGGAGATAACAGTCAATCATTCAGAACATCCACCTGTTCAAAGAAAGTAAACAAAGTTGATAACAATAATGTTACAAAAATGTGGATACTCAACTACTACTCGCATTAGAAGCAAAATAGACATTTCCTGATTGTAAGCTAGTTCCGAAGTACACTAAAAACCTCAGAAGCTGAAAATTTGGGGCTCTGGCCTAAACGAGCCTCTAATATGACAATGGTGAAGGCGGTGGGGAAGGAGGTGAGGGAGGGGGTAGTGGCATATATGGCAGCATTGCACAGGCATGGTTCACTAGTGCAAACTGTGAAGCACACAGTGGAGAAGCATAAGGTGGAAACAAATATGACTGGCACTTCGTCTTCAGATATGTTTAGATCGCTCACTTCATTTTAATTTTCGTATCTTCTCCATGTTCTTTTTCTTTCCTTTTACAAATCCAAGAACCAAACAAAACACAAAATAAATATTTGATGGGGAAATTACACAAATAACCCATGGCTTTGTCTAATCACAAATTAAACTTTTAATTTTTAATTTTTCTCAACTAAAACCCTGCACTTTATAAACTATATCTATGTCGACACTCTGTCCATTTCTGTCTAGGTGTCTAACAGAGCAAAAAATGCATAGGAGACATGGCACGCCTCCCCTATTCCCTGGCATAATTTTTATTCAAATATATATATGATGTGATACCATTTACAACAGAGGAAGCAAACTAAAGGCCAAAAGCATACCACTTAATTAAAAACAAACTACTAGTTATTAATTCAATTTGGAAATATTAAAAAGAAGATATGGACCGATAATAATAATCAATTCACCAAACTAATTTAGTCATCCATCGATTATTCCGGTATCAAGATGCACGGATGCTGTGATATCCTCTATAAAACATCTTTTTTACTTTTAACAAAAATCTCACCAAATGCAAAATCAAATCTTTTTCACAGACTTGCATAACAATCAATTATAGTGATAGAATACATAGACAGTAGAGAGTAGATTCTGTGATCGGTCGTTGGGAGTGAAGAAGAGGGTTGAGGACTTGGTGAAGAAGCTGACATTGCAGGAGAAAATTGGGTCCTTGGGGGACATTGGAGGAAGTGTGAGTAGGCTTGGAATTCCAGAGTACAAGTGGTGGACTGAGGGTTTACATGGTGTAGCACCAGGCTGGCATGGTGGGACAAGGTTCTCTGAATTAGTCCCTGGAGCTACTAGCTTTCCTCGGGTTATTCTCACTGCGGCTTCTTTCAATGTCACTCTCTTTGAAGCCATTGGAAAGGTATATATATATATGTCTCCATTTATATAATAATGTTCTTTAGATTATATTTCTAGGAATACAGAAACTGATCATAGAAATGTGAGGTGAATTCTATCTTTTGGCGAGAAGGAACAGCCTCAAAAATGACACGACACGACAAGATTACAAAAAAAAATAAACACGTTGAAGGTTTGATTATCTGAAATGACACGACACAAATACGACTATCACGACACAATTTTCACCACTCGCTGTGAAGTTGGCTTTACATATTCGAAGACAAGACACCAGTCTTATTGCAAAGGATCAGAGGCTATGAAGGCGTATCGGACAAAAATGAGGAGGCTCAAGAAAGTGCAGTCATCAAACAAATATCCAGTTGCCCTAAAATGCAGGCCCTCTGGCACCTCATGCAGTCAAAGAACAGTTATAGAATTGGGCTAAGTGAGAACTAGTAAGGGTTAAAGAGAACCAGATACATGAGGAGCTAAATCATTCTTGAGATTTTACCCATTTTTCAAAATACTTTAAAAGAAGAGAAATTTCCAAGCACAAGCTTATAAACAGTGTAGTCAAAATACATAGCATACAAGGTTTACATGACTATGAACTTCCTATACAAATCATGTTTTTCCCATTCTGCATCCTCAAGAATGGCAACAACACCTGGTTTGAAGGTATAAACATCTCAACGAACAAATAAATACCTATAATAAATTTCTCACAGCATACAACAATGCAAGAGAAATCCCCCCCTCCAATACTTCCTCGAGAAAATGTAGTTCGGGCAAAAAAAAAAAAGGTTATGAATTGGTTTCATCCTCAAAACGGAGGGAGACAAATCTACCTTAGTATCAAATAATATATTCAAATTTTAGTATAAAACAGAATAAGATCTATACCAGTGCAATTGAAGATTGATGTTAAAACTTGTACCTCAGAAAAAGATGACCTGTTAAAGCCAATATTTCAATCAGATGTATATTCGTTCGCTTCACCTTGCTTGTCATTTGTTTGGTCAAAGATTCACTAAACCCGTATAGCATTTGTGCTTGTGTATCCACTTAGCAAGTCACCGAGGGCTTGTATTAATGATTTGGGTTCAAAAACTACACCCACATTTGGATCACGCACAGAATCAACAGTGATATGCAAGATTTAAATCAGAACACCAGGGATAATTGTGCACAAGTAGAGAGAGTTTCATCATTCCGCAAAGTAAATGAAGATTTTAATTTTAAAATCATAATCTTGCTAAAATTAGGCAGCTACCACAAATTATTAAATAAAAAAGACCTGGGTAAAGATCGTTCATGAACTTCGTCATTCACCAATGGTTTAGATTCCAAAGGGAACTTTGTCATTCACCGGTTTAAGGACTCAGTTATACCACCGTCCTCCGCCGCAGATCCGCCGCCCTCCAAATCCTACATCCCACCAATCAAAAGCACAGGTCAAAAAAAACAAGGATTCAAGCTTTATGAGAGAAGGAACAGCCTAAAAAATGGCCTCACTCACAGTCGCTCACAGTCGGTCGTAGGTCGTCGTTCACAGTCGCTCACCGTCGAAGGCCGTCACTCACCGTCGTCGGTTACCGTCGTCGGTCACAGGAGATGGAATTTAGGAATTTAGGAGATGGAATTTAGGAATTTAGGAGATGGAATTGAGGGATTTCGATTTTAGGGATTTTGGAGAAATGAGGAATTTAGGAATTGGACCGCGAAATGGGATAGAACAGCGGGAACCAAATTTTATTTATTTGCGACGGTATATTTTAACCGTCGCAAATGAGCGTAATTAGTATATGAAACGACGTCGTTTTACCAGAGTTTTTTTGCGATGGTCTTCTGCCGTCGCAAATGGTCCCCCTTTTGCGACAGTAAAATTTAACCGTCGCTAATAAGACTTTTTTTGCGACGGTATACCGTGCGTCGCCAATATTTCTGCAAATTTCTTTTTTCAACCTTTAGCGACGGAATGCTCACCGTCGCAAAAGTCTATGTTTCTTGACGGTAGATACACGTCGTCGCAAAGTCGTCTTTTGGCGACGGCAAATATATATCGTCGCAAAAAATTCTTTTTTTGGAGATGGTAACTATTTCCCGTCGCAAAAAAGGGTTTTTTGCGACGGTAATCACCCCGTCGCAAAAACCTCCGTGTTATTAGCCAGGTTTTCTTGTAGTGTAAAACTTGATATAGTACATAATAATGATCTTCAAAGTAAAATACGACTCATAAATAATTTTCTCTCTCTTTTTTTTTTTCCATTGATAATCTACACATTGAGATCTAAACAATGAACAGATTAAATCATTAAGGTGAAACGAAAAGTGGATCCAATGGGCCTGTCTAGATTGTTGAATCCACTGAGAATCTAGTTCCATTTCTTTGATGTTAGGGAGTCATTCTTTAATCGTTTGTTTCTTTTATAATAGTATAAATTACAAATATACTTTTTCAAGTTTTCTTAAAATATAATTTGTCCTCTGTGATTTTAAAAATTACATCATCACTTGAAGTTTCTAATTTCATAACAAATAATTCTTTTTTTATTTTTATCAATAACTATCAAGTTAATTAATAGTTTTTAATTATGTCAGAAATATATTTCAATTAATAATTTAACTATTTTTATTACTATATAAGAGTTAAATAAAAAAGAATTACAATAGAGAATTTTTAATTTTTCAAATTATAAGAGACAATTCATATTTAAGTAAATCTCAAGATGTGTTTTGTAATTTACCTTTTATAATATTATAAGATTTTTTATTTTTTTGGTGTGTGTGTGTTGATCTAGTAGGTGATAGTCTTGTAGGTTTGTACTAGGTGTCAAAATGTACACATTTGGCCTTTTAAAATACAATGGTTAGTCCTTGAATTATTGTCACTTGATGGTTTTAATGAGTTTGTGTATGTGTAGGTCATTTAGACTTGTGAGATGAAATTGATCTTACTTTGAAGTATTTGAAACTTGAGAGACAAGGTTCGACCCAAGTTTAAAGGGTCGGAAGATGTAAATAATTGAATCAAGCATTAAAATTCAAACCCA